GCAGAAAAAGGAAAATCTTGGTGTCTCACTGATCAGCCAGTGAGCTCAAAGTTCAATTAGAAGACCTGTCTCAACACAGGCAGGCATGGTCAAAAGTATCAAGTCAGACTACTGCTCACATATGCATATATCAGACGATGGCTTTAGTACTATAAAATACACTGACATTTTAAGAAGTCACTAATAAAATGTAATACAAACACAAGCTTGGTAGGCCACAGCTGAGGGTAAGTTGAGACTTTTAAGCAACGCTAAAGTATAAGTAGGAGACACAAGCTAAAAGTCTATTGTAACAATGAAAAGAATCATGATCACTGGCTTAGACTACAGTGGTGGCTGTACGGATGGAGAGATTTGATGTCTATTTCGGTTGTGATGAGGAAGTAATTAATGGTCATTCCTTCATTAATTTCAATGCATAATTTAAGGAAAAATCCTGACTGCTATTTGTTGAACAGTGAATGGGAAGTTAGGAAGTAGAGAGCAAATGGAGACTTATCTTTGAAGAAGCTGATGATAGGAAATGGAGAGGTAATAGCTCACAGGGACCTGGGTCAATGATACATTTAATTCAGCCATCTGTCTATTCATTGGTCTCAGGCACAAGCTGCAAGATTTACTTTCATGAAGAGAAGAGCATGGTAGACTGCCAAATCAAAACAGCAGCAGAGAAACAGACGTATAGAAAGTAAGAAATATTGGGGCCCTAAAGAAGTTGGGACAGCAATGCCTAAAGCAAACAAAAGAAAATTTGCAGGCACTAGAGCTTCTTCCCTTCACTCCAGCTACTCTTTTCAGTACATCACAGTATCAAAAAGCACTGGCTATGAATTTTAACTGAATTCTGCATATCCTATTTATTAGGCAACCTTGGACAAGTTACCCAGGTTTGCTTGATCTCAGTCTCCTCATCAATAGTATGGAGCTAATAGTGCCAATTTCATTGGGTTCCTCACAACACATACAACGGCGCATGTATTTTGACTGGCTTCCTGTTGTGGGGAAACCACAGATCCTGTGAGTTAGTATGTGCACTTGTATGTTACTCATGTCTAAGTGGATGGCCACACACCCATGCCCAGCATTGATTAGATTCAGCAGGGTTATAAGTGACAAAAAAAAGAGGACAGGAAGTTTGGAAGGGAGACAGGAGGATAAATGGAGTGAGTTGGAGGGAAGCAATGATAGGTGGGTATGACCAAAATATATTGTATAAATGTATGTGATTTCCAAAAAATAAATTAAAAATATTATTTAAGAAGATGGTACCATTCTAACCTGGGTTTTTGTCTGATTGAGTCGGAATGGGTACTGTGCATTCTGTCAGCATTGCTGCAAAATCATATGAACAACTTTCCAGTGGCCTTAAAGCCTCTGTTTCCTTATGTTTATACAACAATCATGGCTCTTACAATCTTTCCACCCTCTCTCTGCAGTCCAAAACTCTAGCTAAGGAACAATTGACAAATAATTACTATGGGGTGAAGGAGATTAGATCTTCTTTCACAGAGTGATTCTTTGTAGGCTGACAAGACTCCAGAGGATGAACTTGCACCAAGGGACACCTTGATAGAAATGTGTGACCAGATAGGGCTTAACATATTTGACAGAATACCTGAAATCTGGTGGGGAGCTATGGGTTGTGCGCGGGGGGGGGGGGGGT